CCCCCCCCCCCCAGAGTTCGTGGCAGTCTGGCCCTGAGTGATAGCAAAAGGCAAACGTGACGTGGCAGCTGACATGAGGACTACAGAGAAAAAACCTCTCGAGCAGAAGAACTTGGGCTAAAAGGCTCACCCGGGCCGTGGCGGTGCTCATCCCTAAAACTAGTAACGGACAGGAGTGGGCCGTTGTTCTAGTTGTTCTGACTGTCCTCCTTCTGGTTCCTCCCCACCCAAAATGAGTTTTCCCAACCGGCCTAACAAGAATCGTCCCAGAGGAACTGGGAGACACGCAAAGGGCATCGCCAGCTCCAGGCTGTGAAAGTGTCCTGCTTTTACACGTGACTTCCTTCTCTCACTTTTCCTCAAGAATTGGATTGCTGTCTTTGGTCAGCTTTTGCAGAGCCTGGAAAGTTGGCCCCGGGTCTCCAAACGCACAAACGGCGTACATTTTGCTACACTCTCGGTGGGGCTGGAAGGCTTTTTTTCGCCCACCCAAGAGACACTTACAAGGTTGATTCTGGAAAAGTCAAATTAAACACACTGGTTTAATTTTGCGTGCGACCTTTTAAAATACGTCCTTTTTTCTTAGTTTGGGGTGCAACGTTTCCTGGTCCCCTATCCTTCAAGATGTAACGGGGGGCCGTGTCTATAACTTTGATGGGATTTTGATTTAAGTCCTTTGTAGTCCAAAGGTGCAAATTCTCTCCATCCTCCTAGTGCAGTTTTGTGGATAACAGTGGCCCCCAAGGAATTAATTGGGGTGTCCAATCCCCCTTTTTTCCCCAATGCTATTAATATTTTTTTTTTTACAATCGGGGCCTTAACAGCGTGTGGAGTTGCAGATACTGAAATGGGTGTTTCTGAGGCAGATCTGTTACTGAGTTATTTACGAGGAGTCCTCAATTTACAACAATTCATTTAGTGACTTTGAGGTTACAGTGGCCTTGAAAAAGAGACACGACTGATTTTTTCACATTTTTTTTGACCGTTGTGGCATTCTTGTGGTCACATGATCCAAATCTGAATGCTCGGCAACTGGCATGTACTTAGGACGGTTGCACCGTCCCTGGGTCGTGTGATCCCCTTTTACGACTTTCTGACAAGCCAAGTCACTGGGGAAAGCTGTCTTACTAACTAACGTAACAATGGCAGCAGTTCATTTAACTCTGTAAAATGAGGCAAAACTCCCTTATCAGCCCTCTTCACTTAGCCTCAGAAATTTTGGATGCACTTGAGGTCATAAGTCAAGGACTAACTGTATGTCTTTGGGATTTGGGCTGAAATAAGAAATCTCCTAAGGCAGGGGTAGGCAACCTTGGCTCTTTTATGACTTGTGGACTTCAACTCCCAGAATTCCTCAGCCAGCTTTGCTGGCTGAGGAATTCTGGGAGTTGAAGTCCACAAGTCATAAAAGAGCCAAGGTTGCCTACCCCTGTCCCAAGGTGTTACTGACCCATGACTGAATCTTGATTTCTCTCATTTCCCTTTGTGAAATGGAGAAGACCGGAACAGAGTCTCCAAGCTTGGCAACTTTTAAGGCTTGTGGATTTCAACTCCCAGAATTCCCCAGCCAGCATGGCTGACTGGGGAATTCTGGGAATTGAAGCCATACTTCTTAAAGAGAGGCCACGTTTGTGGAGATCCCCGGACTAGAACAAGACAGGAAAGTGAGGCAGCAATATAAGATTTCTTTTTTTAAAAAAAAAAACCAAATGTTTCCAACAAAGCTTTGGGGGAAGAAATTTGACTTCCGCTGGAGACTGAAATGGGTTTCGTGTCTGTCTCCTGGGATCTGCGTATTATAAGAGTCAATAGCGAAAAAAAATGACGAGGTCTGGACTTCCTGGAAAGCAGTGGTTTGATCCCACCCACAGATCAATTTCCATCTTAACAGAATGACAGAGTTGGAAGGGACCTGGGAGGTCATCTAGTCCAACCCCCCTGCTCAGGCAGGAAACCCTACAACATTGCAGACAAATGGTTGTCCAATCTCTTCTTAAAAGCCTCCAGTGATGAAGTACTCACAACGTCTGGAGGCAGGGTTGTTCCACTGATTAATTGTCCTCCCTGTCCGGAAATTCTTCCTTAGTTCTAGGTTGCTTCTCTCCTGGATGAGTTTCCATCCGTCGCTTCTTGTCCTGCCTTCAGGTGCTTTGGGGAATAGCTTGACTCCCTCTTCTTTGGGGCAGCCCCTGAGATATTAGAACACTGCCATCATGCCCCCCCTAGTCCTTTTCATGACACTTGCTGTTAGTTGTGAAGTCGTGTCCGACCCATCGCGACCCCATGGACAACGTTCCTCCAGGCCTTCCTGTCCTCTACCATCTTCTGGAGTCCATTGAAGCTCACACCTGCTGCTTCAGTGACTCCATCCAGCCACCTCCTTCTCTGTCGTCCCTTTCTTCTCTTGCCCTCCATCTTTCCCAGCATCAGGCTCTTCTCCAGGGAGTCCTTCCTTCTCATTAGGTGGCCAAAGGACTTGAGTTTCAACTTCAGGATCTGGCCTTCTAAAGAGCAGTCGGGGTTGATCTCCTCTAGGACCGACCGGTTTGATCGCCTTGCAGTCCAGGGGACTCGCAGGAATCTTCTCCATACCCAATTCCAGCAAACCGATCACGGTACAATCTCTATCCAGCAGAGGCAAGGAAAAGAGCTACAGTACACTCAATTTTGCCCCTTGCTCAATAACCCGCCCCGTTTTGAGGCTCGAATCCAGACCGCCTACTCTTTGGGTCAGCAGCTGGTGTTCTAGAGCAGTGGTTCTCAACCTTTTTAATGCCGCGACCCCAACCGGTCGTAAGTTGAGGACTAAACTGGTCGTAAGTCGAGGACCAAACCGGTCGTAAGTCGAGGACTACCCAACCGGTCGTAAGTCGAGGACTTTCCCTGCCCGGGAGCGCCGCACATGCGCGGTTCCGCCCCCTGCGCCGGCCGAGGCGTAGCTGGCAAGCGGCAGAGACGGAGCAGGCCGACCCCCAGCTGGCCCAGCCCAAGGGAGGTAAGGCACCCGCCGGAAAAGGGGGCAAAAAATGGCAGACAAAAAAAATGGCGGACAGCCTTGATTGGCGACCCCCATGAAATGGTCGATCGACCCCAAATGGGGTCCCGACCCACAGGTTGAGAACCACTGTTCTAGAGGGTCACTTCAGAGGGAGCTGTGGATTCAATGGTTAAAGCTTAACCCACGCTGGGACACCAAAGGGGCTGTCGGGAGCACATTTTGTTCTCCCAAATATCATTGCTGCCCAGCCTGGGCTGCTCTGCCTCCTCCCTGCTTGCTCTTGCTCTTCTCTGGCCTGCAACCGAACCTCAGCCGGTAAGAGATGGGCTTGGCGTGGAGGAGAGATGGGTGTTTGGGGGTCTTGAGAACAAGAGATTGGGAAGATCTTGAACACGTTTCTTTGTGGCTTCTTTTGAGGGAACCGGACCTGCAAAACGAGACGTTGACGTTCTGCCAGGACGGAGTTTCCCAACTTTGGTTCACTTTTTAAGCGGTGTGGACTCCCAGCGCCTGGAATCCTGCGGCAAGACAGGTCGTAAAACGGGACCCAAACTCGTGGAACAAACGTCTGGCTTAAGCCACCAAAATCTGAGGCTGAACTGTGGACGTAAGTCGAGGACCACCTGCTCCGCTTCATGAAAAGNCCCATCCCGTCCCCCCCCCCCCAGAGTTCGTGGCAGTCTGGCCCTGAGTGATAGCAAAAGGCAAACGTGACGTGGCAGCTGACACGAGGACTACAGAGAAGAAACCTCTCGAGCAGAAGAACTTGGGCTAAAAGGCTCACCCGGGCCGTGGCGGTGCTCATCCCTAAAACTAGTAGCGGACAGGAGTGGGCCGTTGTTCTAGTTGTTCTGGCTGTCCTCCTTCTGGTTCCTCCCCACCCAAAATGAGTTTTCCCAACCGGCCTAACAAGAATCGTCCCAGAGGAACTGGGAGACAGCCGCAAAGGGCATCGCCAGCTCCAGGCTGTGAAAGTGTCCTGCTTTTACACGTGACTTCCTTCTCTCACTTTTCCTCAAGAATTGGATTGCTGTCTCTGGTCAGCTTCTGCAGAGCCTGGAAAGTTGGCCCCGGGTCTCCAAACGCACAAACGGTGTACATTTTGCTACACTCTCGGTGGGGCTGGAAGGCTTTTTTCGCCCACCCAAGAGACACTTACAAGGTTGATTCTGGAAAAGTCAATTAAACACACTGGTTTAATTTTGCATGCGACCTTTTAAAATACGTCCTTTTCTCTTAGTTCGGGGTGCAATGTTTCCTGGTCCCCTATCCTTCAAGACGTAACGGGAGCCCTGTCTATAACTTTGATGGGATTTTGATTTAAGTCCTTTGTAGTTCTTTAAAAAGTCCAAAGGTGCAAATTCTCTCCATCCTCCTCGTGCAGTTTTGTGGATAACAGTGCCCCCCAAGGAATTAATTGGGGTGTCCAATCCCCCTTTTTTCCCCAATGCTATTAATATTTTTTTTTTTACAATCGGGGCCTTAACAGCGTGTGGAGTTGCAGATACTGAAATGGGTGTTTCTGAGGCAGATCTGTTACTGAGGTATTTACAAGGAGTCCTCAATTTACAACAATTCATTTAGCGACTTTGAGGTTACAGTGGCCTTGAAAAAGAGACACGACTGATTTTTTCACATTCTTTTTGACCCATTGTAGCATTCTTGTGGTCACATGATCCAAATCTGAATGCTCGGCAACTGGCATGTACTTAGGACGGTTGCACTGTCCCTGGGTCGTGTGATCCCCTTTTACGACTTTCTGACAAGCCAAGTCACTGGGGAAAGCTGCCTTACTAACTAACGTAACAATGGCAGCAGTTCATTTAACTGTGTAAAATGAGGCAAAACTCCTCTTCACTTAGCCTCAGAAATTTTGGATGCACTTGAGGTCATAAGTCAAGGACTAACTGTATGTCTTTGGGCTGAAATAAGAAATCTCCTAATGCAGGGGTAGGCAACCTTGGCTCTTTTATGACTTGTGGACTTCAACTCCCAGAATTCCTCAGCCAGCAAAGTTGAAGTCCACAAGTCATAAAAGAGCCAAGGTTGCCTACCCCTGTCCCAAGGTGTTACTGACCCATGACTGAATCTTGATTTCTCTCATTTCCCTTTGTGAAATGGAGAAGACCAGAACAGAGTCTCCAAGCTTGGCAACTTTGAAAGCTTGTGGATTTCAACTCCCAGAATTCCCCAGCCAGCATGGCTGACTGGGGAATTCTGGGAATTGAAGCCATACGTCTTAAAGAGAGGCCACGTTTGTGGAGATCCCCGGACTAGAACAAGACAGGAAAGTGAGGCAGCAATATAAGATTTCTTTTTTTTAAAAAAAAAAACAAATGTTTCCAACAAAGCTTTGGGGGAAGAAATTTGACTTCCGCTGGAGACTGAAATGGGTTTCGTGTCTGTCTCCTGGGATCTGCGTATTATAAGAGTCAATAGCGAAAAAAAATGACGAGGTCTGGACTTCCTGGAAAGCAGCGGTTTGATGATCCCACCCACAGATCAATTTCCATCTTAACAGAATGACAGAGTTGGAAGGGACCTGGGAGGTCATCTAGTCCAACCCCCCTGCTCAGGCAGGAAACCCTATAACATTGCAGACAAATGGTTGTCCAATCTCTTCTTAAAAGCCTCCAGTGATGAAGCACCCACAACGTCTGGAGGCAGGGTTGTTCCACTGATTAATTGTCCTCCCTGCAGGAAGTTTCTCCTTAGTTCCAGGTTGCTTCTCGCCTTGATTAGTTTCCATCCGTCGCTCCTTGTCCTGCCTTCAGGTGCTTTGGGGAATAGCTTGACTCCCTCTTCTTTGGGGCAGCCCCTGAGATATTAGAACACTGCCATCATGTCCCCCCTAGTCCTTTTCATTAAACTTGCTGTTAGTTGCGAAGTCATGTCCGACCCACAACGTTCCTCCAGGCCTTCCTGTCCTCTACCATCTTCTGGAGTCCATTGAAGCTCACGCCTCCTGCTTCAGTGACTCCATCCAGCCACCTCCTTCTCTGTCGTCCCCTTCTTCTCTTGCCCTCCATCTTTCCCAGCATCAGGCTCTTCTCCAGGGAGTCCTTCCTTCTCACTAGGTGGCCAAAGTCCTTGAGTTTCAACTTCAGGATCTGGCCTTCTAAAGAGCAGTCGGGGTTGATCTCCTCTAGGACCGACCGGTTTGATCGCCTTGCAGTCCAGGGGACTCGCAGGAATCTTCTCCATACCCAATTCCAGCAAACCGATCACGGTACAATCTCTATCCAGCAGAGGCAAGGAAAAGAGCTACAGTACACTCAATTTTGCCCCTTGCTCAATAACCCGCCCCGTTTTGAGGCTCGAATCCAGACCGCCTACTCTTTGGGTCAGCAGCTGGTGTTCTAGAGCAGTGGTTCTCAACCTTTTTAATGCCGTGACCCCAACCGGTCGTAAGTCGAGGACTAAACCGGTCGTAAGTCGAGGACCAAACCGGTCGTAAGTCGAGGACTACCCAACCGGTCGTAAGTCGAGGACTTTCCCTGCCCGGGAGCGCCGCACATGCGCGGTTCCGCCCCCTGCGCCGGCCGAGGCGTAGCTGGCAAGCGGCAGAGACGGAGCAGGCCGACCACCAGCTGGCCCAGCCCAAGGGAGGTATGGCACCCGCCGGAAAAGGGGGCAAAAAATGGCGGACAAAAAAAATGGCGGACAGCCTTGCTTGGCGACCCCCATTAAATGGTCGATCGACCCCAAATGGGGTCCCGACCCACAGGTTGAGAACCACTGGTCTAGAGGGTCACTTCAGAGGGAGCTGTGGATTCAATGGTTAAAGCTTAACCCACGCTGGGACACCAAAGGGGCTGTCGGGAGCACATTTTGTTCTCCCCAAATATCATTGCTGCCCAGCCTGGGCTGCTCTGCCTCCTCCCTGCTTGCTCTTGCTCTTCTCTGGCCTGCAACCGAACCTCAGCCGGTAAGAGATGGGCTTGGCGTGGAGGAGAGATGGGTGTTTGGGGGTCTTGAGAACAAGAGATTGGGAAGATCTTGAACACGTTTCTTTGTGGCTTCTTTGAGGGAACCGGACCTGCAAAATGAGACGTCCTGCAAGACGGTCCTGCCTCAAAGGGTTGAAACCAAGTGAAAAATTCGCCACACCTGAGGGTCGCGGACCTTAGGACGCCGTTCTGTCCAGCATTTTGCCCTGGGTTTGAGCACCTTGTTTGCAGACCGAATTCGGTGGTTTTAGACTCCGACTTGACACCTGCATTCAGCTCCTGGTGGACGAGGCGAAGTACTTTTCCCTTCTGGAGCTGAGGACCGGTTTTTGCAAAAAAACGGCTGGAAGGTAAAATATTTCTGATTTAAAATCTACACCCACCACCACCCTCCTCCCCCCCCCCGCCACAAATGCAACCTGAGGTTGCCTCCCTCTGATCTGGAAGGGGAGGGTGGGGATTTCCCCTCCCCGAGGGGGGCGTGGATTCTCCTCCAGCTGTTGGTGGCCCACGTGCTTTGGACACCTTGGAGAGCAGAGCAGTGACCTGCCTGGGAAGGGCGGGGAGAGTTTGGTGGGCTCTGGGGGGGGGCTTTATAACTCGGCAGACGGAGACTCGGCCGTGTCCAGTCCGTGTCCTCGGTGACTCAGCCGTGTCCAGCCCGTGTTCCCTTGGTCCTGCTTCTTGGAGGGGGGGGGCAACCTCTGGGCAACTGAAGAGTCTGCAACACCATGCTCTCTGCATTTTGGCTGCTCCTGCTCTTGCTACAACTAACAGCACCTTTTCGATGGGATGCGTCTC